AGATGGGAGATGTTGATGGCATTTGACCCAATGATTACACATTTGACCAAGCCTAACCCTTTTGCTCTTGCAAGAAGTAGGTTTAAACCCTCAGCCACCACATTAAATGGGAAAGGTGATATTGGATCACCTTGCCTAAGCCCTTTTTGAGGGAAAAATTCAGGTGTGGGTGAACCATTAACCAACATAGAGATTTTTGCTCAGGAAAGACAAGTACGAATCCAATTCACCCATTTAGAACCAAACCCAAAATTTGCTAGCATTTGGATGAGATAGTTCCAATTGATTGTCATACGTTTTTTGAAAATCCAACTTTAATATTAGGCCCTTCCTTCTTTATTTTTTCCACTAGTCCACCACCTCACTGGCTATTAATACACCATCCAGGATATTCCTACCCCCTAGAAACACAGATCACCTTGGAAAGAATTTTGTAAGTGGAGTTTATAAGATTGATAGGCCTGTAGTCTTGAATTCCTATGGGGTTGTCTTTTTTAGGGACCAATGTAATAAAGGATCTATTTAAGCCCCCAACCAAGCTACTGTTAACAAAAAATTCCTTTATAAAAGTGATGATATCATTTTTCATAAATTTCCACCTTTTTTTTTTATATATATAATAAGTCATATTAAACCCATCCAGCTTAGGTGCCTTATTCCCATCACAGTCTGCTACAGCTGCCCAAATTTCATGTTCAGAGAATTCCACATCCAAACAGGTAAGTGTTGGCTCTGTACAATGACATTAAATGGGCCCAAAAGCTTGGGTCTATACATTCATTACTCAGAAAAACTTAACCTGAAGTGATCATACATAGCTTGTTTGACCTCAACAGGTTCCTTCACTAATTCCCTATTCACTGACATGGAATCAATTGCATTGGCGTTCTGTCTTTTAATAGCTATAATGCGGAAAAATTTTATATTTTTATCTCCCTTAAGATTCCAGTTCAGCCTTCTGTATCCAAATTCTTTCCATCAACTTTCTGAGCTTCCACATTTCAGCCTTTACCTCACATCTCTTTTCCTTCTCCTTCTACCTTCATCCTCATCCAGGTCTCTACTCCCAGCAATTAGATCTATGGCATGTAGGTTTTCTTCAGCTTGCCTCAATTTAGAGTCCATATTCCCAAACGCTTCAGAATTCCACTGCTTTAAAGAATGTTTAAGTGCCTTCAACTTAATTTTCAGTTTGTACCCTGCCCAACCTTCCACCTGAGTACCCACCCACATTTGCTTCACTACATTTAGAAAAGAGGGGTGAGATGCCCAAGCATTGATGAATCTAAAAGGCTTTGGGCCCCAATTTTTGACATCCTCCATTAGGATAATAGGACAGTGATTTGAGATGGATCTAGGGAGACCCCAAAGTTTGTATCTAAACCATTCCAACCATTCTAGCCCAACAAGGAACCTGTCTAGCCTACTCCATCTCTCACCTTCTATTGATTTACACCATGTAAATTTTTTACCAAACATAGGTAAGTCAATCAATCCAAGACTACTTATGAAATTACAGAAATCTGCCATTCCTCTATCCCTTCTTACACAACCCTTCCTTTTATCTATTGACTTAATTTCATTAAAGTTCCCCCCCGGATGCACTACGGTTTGAGAAAAACAACCTTAAGATTGAGCAAAGAGACCCATAAGCTTCTCCTAGCAATCACATCATTAGACGCATACACATTCACAATCACACAGTCCAAGCTATTAAATAATGTACTTGATAGTATGATGAAACTCCTGTTACAGCAACAGTCAGCTAGAGAGAAGACTTCAGGCTTCCACACACATAACAGACCTCCAGCACTCCCAGCAACATCCACATTCATGGAATCAACTAGGTCATTGGGCCAGATAGACTTCACAAACTAATCTAAAATGTTTGCCTTTTTTGTTTCTTGCAACAGCACCATATCCACTTTCTTTTTTTTTTGATAACTGCTTTGAGTCTCCTTCTCTTCTTAGACCTGCCAAGCCCTCTAATATTCCAAGAAAGAATCTTCATAAGAACTTACTATTCACTCTTGAGCCACCCTTGATACTGAACTAAACCCCTTCACCATCACTCCTAACAGCAGCCTGCTCCATGTCATTCTCCTCCGTTTCAATTAATTTCTTCATAACTTCATCATCTTTGCCTTCAAAATCAATGCCCAGATTTTTCCCAAGTCGAAGAGTATCTTGAGCCTCCTTTAACAATGGATCTACTGTTATGGGACAATGAAAAAGAAATTGCAGCTACAGCTGCACTAAAGATGGCCCCCATTTGAAACCCGCTTTTCATCATTATTTTCCTTTGGTTTTTCTTACTTTTTCCTTTGCTCTCCTTGCCTTCTATTATCTTTCTAGGTTCATTATTTGGATTGCTTTGACTATCTCCTTCATTACTGACCTCAGCCATACCTTTTCCATTTGCCACTTGCGCTTGAATATGTGATAGAGCCAAGTTCTCAGCAAATCTGCTGCAACTAGGACCCAGCCCAATTGATTTAGAAATGCCTTTGTTCAGGTCATTCAGCCGACCATCAAAATGGGCTTGATCAAAAACTACTTCTAAATTAATGCTGGGCTTTGTAGGTCCATTTCCACTAAAACTTGTCATAAGCCCATCAGAACCTAATCTACCTTCAACTCTCCCACTTTCTGTGGCTAATCTCTGCCCGTTCTTCTTGATTGATTCCAACATTCCACCTTGGCCCATATTGAGCTCATCATTTTGACTTTTACTAGCAACACACTCAACTAAGGTATTAGTCATGCTTCCCTTGAGCCTTGTGCACTAACCCTCTTCTATGCTAGGTCCCATATTGCTACAAGTCTCGTTTACTACAGAGACAACAAAGTGACTATTATCTACGCTCTCAGACTCCGCCACCAATCTGTCATGTCCATTTGCAGCATGTGACGCATCATTTTCATAGGCCACCTGATCCCCTTGTTGCATCACGTCATGCACATCTTCCTCCATTCCTCTGCAGTTTCAAAGGTAGACTTATCGTTCATTTTTCAAATTATGAATTATTTGATCATTATACAATAATCTAAAATTATTATCCCTCCCCTGGGTGGATGATGGATAAGCAGGAAGTTGTGGGCTCTTGCCCCCGGTATTCTACCAGATTCTTCTTCTTGTTCACAACAGTGAGTTTCTTCCACAGAATGGTTGTGCTACAATTGGGTGTGTAGCAAATCTGCAGCTGACATCGGTTGACGATGCTCTGTTGAGGAGTTCAGACGTGATCAGATCTGTCCAGATAAGGGAGTGGAATATCTTGTCCCATTCTGGTTCGTGCTTCGCACTTGGCTTGGTATCTCGTTGCTTGGAGGATGAGAGAGTGTAATACCCCTGTTCCGTAATATGTTAATTGGTCCTTAATATGATGTGATTATGTGTCTTGATATGATTTTGTGTTCCATTATGTGAATATATGTGATTCTAGAATTCTATCTGTCCACCGTAGGAATATCTGTTTGAATAATCTGCTTTGGAATCAAATTGAGGGCCCTATCGGCCACAAAACCCGAAATTGATCGCGCCATTGTGATTGGCGTAATTTTTAGAGCCTACGGTGGAGTTTAATTGAAAACTGATTTGGGTCAGATTAAATCGATTAAATTGATGAATTAAGTGCCCAAATATTTTATAATGAAATAATGTGTTGAGTGGGGCTAATAGGGGCCTTATTATGATCAATTCCTCACCCTTATATCATTTTGGCTGAAGTTTAACTCTCTAGAAAAGAGAGAGAGAGTCGACTTTGAGAGAGAGGGGAGGCACCTTTGGGCATTTTGATTCAAAATTGTGAATTGGGAAGGCTAGGTGCAAGACTTGGCCATAATTGTGAAGATTGGGCCTCTAGGTAAGCATTGATTCTTGAATTCATGAGTTTAATGTGTAATCTTGTGTGTTCAAGGGTTGTTGTGATCAAGAGCATGATTTGAGATCATTTTGTTGAAATTGAGGCTTGATATGTGCATGCATGTAATGAACTCCCATGGAATCACAAAATCTAGCATGTAATTTGTGAAATTGTGAAAGATTGGTAGTGTAATCCCACATGCAAGCATGTCTTTGTTGAGTCTTATGGGAATGAGCACTAATTGCATTATTTGAAATGAAAATGAAGTCAAAATGGGCATGCATGTCTGAATAATTGAAGATATGAGCTTTGAATGCATGAAATGGTTACATTGGTAATGAGTTGGTGGAAAATGAGCCATGCATGTAAATAAATTATGAAATTGAGCTTCAATATGTTGTAAATTATGCTTGTACCATGTTAGTACATGTCTATGAGTAATTTGAGCCATAACATGCATAAATTGTTGGTTGATAGTCCAAGTGAAGCTCAAGAACACAATTCTGGGTTTTCCAGAATTTTGAGGTCCGCTCGAGCGGGGAACATGCCGCTCGAGCGGGAAATGCGTGCTCCCAGTACTTTTTGCAGACTTGATGTCCGCTTAAGCGGGGTAATTCACGCTTAAGCGGGGGAGCTATTTTGACAGGCCTTCCGCTCGAGCGCCCTATTTAACGCTCGAGCGTATTTTTCATGCAACCAGTACTTTTGCAGGCCTTGAGGGTCCGCTCGAGCGGGTAAATTGACGCTCGAGCGGGGACCCTAATTTCTGGAATTTTGTTCATGCGTTCTGTGTTTCGTTTTCCGTTCTCTTTCACTTGTAATCACTCTTAGGCGTATGTTAAACATTATAAATGAGTTAATGAGATAAGAATAAAACCTAAAGAGGAATATGTGAATTAAGGGACGGATTGAATTGTTAATGACCCTTTTGTGTGCATGGAATGTGTAGGGTCAAGCTCCAGGGCGAATCCACAAGCCGATCACTGTGAGTAATATCAATATTCGAAAGCTTGTCAATGTCCAATTGTTGTTCCCTTATAAACTTTATGAGTTGTTAATTGGGATTGTGGACAAAAGTCTGATAAGAATAAATGAATGAATGGGCCAAAGGCCGTTTGACATGAATGAATGGGCCAAAGAAAAATTATATACACATCATTCTGATCAAATTTGGAGCAAATGTGAAAAAGATCAGTCTGCTGATGCAGAAGGTGGTGTGGAACTTCTTATAATTTCTATACGGAACGTTGACATGTGAGAAGTTTGTAAGAAAATTTTATGTATGTCTTTGAAATTTTGCAGGATTTACAGATGGACAGATGGATATACAAGGAGCAACGCAATCTCTGCTGGTAAAATTCAGTTTTTCTGTTAAAATTCACAAAAATAAACACTGAGAGAGAGAGGACTAACAGTCCTATTTGCTGAAGTGGCATGTCGCTGTATATATGAAGTGGGTTAATAATAAAACTCTAGAAACAAAACTGAAAACATAAACAGAAAACCTAAATTAATGACTAGTCCTTATAAGTCTATCAGAATCAATTATGCATAATTGTGTAAGCAAAACAAACAATTGGATTCAGTGCCTTCTGGATTATGTTCTATTGAGGAGGCTAAGACTATCCCTGTTGTAAACCAAAAGTGAGATTAGCATATTTGTAACAATAAAACTATAAAATGTTATGCAAAATTGTTCTTAGTTCTGGAATTTTATGAAGGAAATGTTATAACCTATTATATCCCATTTTGTGTATTTGTACCTATATGTTGATGATAACTTTGAATTTTTTGGATGGCGGAGGACTCTACATTAACTTCTTTCCTTGTGCAGGAAGAAGAACCGAATAAATGGGCACCTGAAGGAAGAGAACTGGAAAAAGATGTAAGTTTCTTCTAGTTAGGTTTACATCTATTTACTTTGAACACATGGTAGAAGAACCATATACTTGTGCTTATTGCGCACATTGATATGCATAAGAGAAAACTTGTAAGCTTTTTACACTCAAAGTACTTCAGGTGAGTCCCATTTCATTTGCAAAAACAGATCATATATTACATGCTATGTGACATGGACTTGTGTACAAATGTAGAGTGTTTGTATGCGTCTATATGTTAGATTTATCTAATTCTCATTTCCAAGGATACTTAAGACATGACAAGATGTCATATTTTTAAAACAATTTTTTAGGATAAAATGATATTTACAAACTAAAAGAAAGAATGTTAACCAATAATGTTAATCTTAGTAAATTCAACTATTTACAAATACTTGTCTGGCACATACCAACTGCACATACTTGTCGGGCACATATCCAACTAAACATGTCAGACACATACCAAGTGTTGGGTGCTGACAAAGGTACTGCACAAATTTAAAATAGCCCATCTGACATAGATTATAGGTAGATGGGTTTTTGACTCTCTTTTTTGGCAAGTAATTTCTAGTTTTTCATAATACATTCTTGCTAGTTTATGTGGCAGTTTGTATCTACAGATGCGTCTAAACCCTTTCTCAAATGTTAAGTACTACTGCCTTCATACGTTATTGAGCTTAAAGTTAAACTTGAAAATTTTATTACGGACCAGGAAAACTATTATAAGGTTCAAATCAAACAAGCAAATAAAGAAACAAATTATGTAGTGTTATTTGTATTATAGCTTTTGATCAGATCCTTCCAAAATCTCAAGACATACTTGATTTCGTGATTATAGAACTCTGGTAATCACATATCAATGTTATTGATTGCTACTACAGTATGGTTTAGGAAGTACCAAAAAAAAAAAAAAAATCACAAGGTGTTGAATCTTCTTCTCTCTCCATTTCATACATCATAAACGACTTCCACTTGGCTTTTGTCTCCAATTTTTTTTTCCCCCTCTCAAGAGATATGAACCAACTGTTGAAAAATTCACTTTTTTATCTACCTTCAAAATGAACAGATGGAAATGGAGGTATTAGATGAAGGTATACGGTTGTGGTCAGCTAGTAAGGAAGCTAACATCCGGTTGCTGCTCTCGACATTGCACCAAGTAAGATATCTAAAGTTGTTGGTATTGTTGCAGCATTATTTCAGAGTTAGTTTTGGTGATTTGAATCACACATTTATAATAGTTTATTTATTTTATGTAATTCAGATTCTATGGCCTGACAGTGGTTGGTATGAAATCCATATAACAAACCTGGTAGAAAGCTCACAAGTGAAAAAGGCTTATCAGAAAGCAAGGTTGTGTCTGCACCCTGACAAGCTGCAGCAAAGAGGTGCAACGTTCATGCAAAAATATGTTGCAGAGAAGGCATTTTCAATTCTCCAGGTACGTTTTGGTGCTTGTATTACAACTTGAAAATTTTATGTATTAATCAAATGGAACAAACGGTAAAAAAATTAGAAAGAACGATGTGAGAAAGATGAGGGAAGAATTTTGATCGAAAATGGTTTCAGACCATGGATAGTGAATTTTGCACTTGATCAGAGTTGAACAAGAAAAATGCAGATGGAAAGTTCTATCTGTAATTTGGTGGTGAAGGGTGAGCATCTAAAGCTAGAATTGTTAGGAGGAGAAATGGTAATTTAAATGAATTCCAAGGCAGACTTGTGATCATAGTTACTGGAAACTCTATTCAAAAGGGAAAACTTGTTCCCCAGAGACTGGTTTGGGGAGGAGTGGGTAAAAAACTCTAATGAAGTGTTGAGAGAAATTTCTCTGAGAAGTGTAAAAAGATCTTACATAATTTAAAGAAACCTTTCAGAAACTCTTAAAAAGCAACTTTCTAGAAACATGCTTCTCATAGTCTATACTATTTTTGCTCTAGAATTTTATTTTTCAAAATAATATATAGTTCTTCTGATATATTTATGTAGATATTATGTTGTGTTAGTTTTTTAATGATCATCAAACTATGTTGATGCTTTGTATTGTTATTCTTACAGTTTTTAATAAAATTTCATATATAGATTTTCTATTGAATCTTATATTACTTACCATTTTCCGTTTCTCTTATTTATCACGTATCACGTTTCTATTCCCATAATGCATTCCGGTTTCCATTGACAACTATGCTTTTGATTGTGAGTCTTTCTCAATGAGATTTTGTGATGTCGTAACAGGAAGCATGGGCAGCATACATCTCCCAAGACTTCTTCTTTAGCTAGAGGATGAGTAGTAGTCAGTCCTCTCTGGAAAGGAAACCTGTTTCAACTCAAAACTGAGGCACCTTATGTATATATTCAAAGAAAGTGCCAGAGATGAAACACATAATTCCATTGTTTTTAGTACAGATGTTTCAAAAACCTGCTTCTTTTGTATCCATATACTGTTGTGTTTTGTCACTCAATGGCTAGACTATGTAATTTTATAATATGAGAAATGCGTTGCCCACCCCGACCTGAGGTATGCATCAAACCCTGGTGTTTTACTCGAGAACTAGATGTTCACGTCTTCATCAAGTGAATCCAACGGCGTGGTGGATTGAAGGATGATAGTGAGATTACCACGACTATGAGTTCCTTATTGAGATTTCAATTGTACTTTGCAGAAACAATCTTGGAGCTCTACTTTTTCTCTTTCTTCCTATGAGTTTCACCAGTTTCTTTACCTGACAATTTTTAAAACTTTATTTATCAATTGCATCGAGATTAGGACAATCACTTTTTTTTTAAAGAAAATGTAACTGCTTAGTTTCTTTATTTGAAGCTTGCCAAATGTTAAAAATCTAATAATGTTTGAAATTGAAAAAAAAAAAGAAAAAGAAAAAGGGTGATTGTCAATAATACTTTTGTTAGAAGTCGTAGCTAGCAACTTAGCAACCAAGTTTTTTCCACTCATAACCAAAAGGATATATGGCAATGACATTGTAGAGAATCTGGAGGAGAGGGTACTGAGACTGAGAGGTTAGTATTGGAGAGGTGAAAAATTGCAGATGATAAACTGGGATCATTGGATACTGTCATTGTATAAATATTAAGGTAAACAAGACTGAGCTTTAGCTCTAACATAAATGCATGAAAAACTGTTTGGGTAGAGCTCTAATGAAACTAGACTACAATAAAGAAATTCATAGGGAAATTTGAGTAATTTAATCTTCGTTGTCCTCAATGAGTTTCGAGAGTATTATGGTTAGATTGGGTTTCTCTCTCTCTTTTTATTCACTTACGAACTTTTCACCCTCTTAATGTTGTGTTTAGTTGAGAGATTTGGGAGGGAATTTGGAAGGGAATTTGGAAAGGAAAAGGAAAAAG